TCCATATCCCACAAAATCTACTCAAAGAAAAGGAAACTATTATGAAGAACAACTGAAAAGGGATCAAAGAAGCAGTGTGGATAGGACAACTTTTTAGAACCATCTTCGATACTATAGTATACCTAAAAAAGTCGTCAACATCATACGGAATTCATCTGACGGACTACACTGTAAATTCGTGCATGGAAGACAGCTGAAAGATACATTCCAAGTGAGGATCGGTGTCAGACAACGCTGCTTACTCTCCCCCTTTTATTTCCTCTGGTGGTTGACTGGATTATGAGGACCTTCACATCTCAAGGGGAGCATAAAATACAATGGACAGCTTGGATGCAGTTAGACGATTTGAACTTCTCAGGTGACCTATTCCGTACACATCAACAAATTTATTTGTAGACAGCCAGTGTAACAGCAGTGTCTGCATCAGTAAGCCTCAACATCTACCTGCGAAAAAGCAAGATCATGAAATACAACACGAAGATCATAAACCCAATCACACTTGATCGACGATCTCTGGAAGGGGTGGGACGTTTCACATACCTGAGGATCATCATCGATAAACATGGAGAATCTGATGCAGATATAAAGGTGAGTATTGGCAAATCAGTGGTAGCATTTGTACTTCATAACATGGTGTTGGTTGTATGAGTTTCTTCTTACAACCTCAATGCTTCACCAATGTTTGGTTATTATATATCATGTAAAGATAGGTATTGGTCACTTCTTGTTACATTGTTTCAAAGTATTACATTGAATTGTTTTTTTATTCAACATAACAGATCATCTAGCCGATGAAAATTATTTCAATGAAAATCAATTTGTTTTTCTTAGTTTTGTGAAAGAAAATATGCAATTTAGTATTGTTTTTTTCTTCGTAGATTATAGGATATTTAATATTTCGATATTTTCACATATATTTATGATGAAATCAGAATTTATTTAATATTCAATCTGAAATATCAAATTATATTCTGTCTGATTTCATCAAATGTGCATCATCTCCCAATATAATTCAATTATTCCGTTATTATTGTTACTTTCATGTCTGTTAAATTAATTCACTTACTTTTAAGTATATATATATATATATAGAAACAGGTGAAACCTCAAAAAATGACATACCTTGGATTCCTAAAGGGTTAATAATCGATACTATCCAATTAATTCATAAATGACTAGTCTCTATAGCTTTTTGAAGTATTATACTTTATCTTATCTGTTTACAGTTTTAATCTCAGTAATTCATCGATTTTCATTATTATTTCTCATGGAATATAATTAGTTGCGATCCTCTATGTAAGATGATGGTACATCTTTCTCTTATGAATGTTGCTCATTTAATGAAATCCATGTTTTTCCTTTAGAATTTACCTCCTTTAATTTCTGTTAATTTTAAAATATCAAATAATATACAGTATTGTTTTGTAAATACGACGACTAGTATAGGCTTATTTCGGCCTTTATAGTACAATAATTATAAACTTGTAATCGTGGAGACTGATGATAATGTTATTGAAAATAACTGTTCGCTCCAGTATTCTTTGTCTTCGCAATGGGATTATACATTAAAGTCATATCAACAGATTGGATTAAGTACTGTTAACAAGTTATGATTACCGATTAAATGTTTCGTTTTAACGAAAAGAATTTATATAGCATATATTATATATCATCATACTAATAAATATACAATAAATTATCATTTTTTTACACATTATCCTAGGATTTTATTTCAAATGAATGCATATTTATAAGATATTGGATAACTTAATCAACCTAACAAAAGTAAACTTCATCCGATGAATTAATTGTATACAATATCAAGTCATTTAGGCTAGTTTGGCCACTGAATTACTACTGATCTATAGAATTCAATTAGCATTAAGGAGGATTAAAGAAATATGATACTGAATACCTTCTGGTCAGTAATCCAATCATTCTATGACGCATCTGTTTTGTCTTGTAGTTAACGGTAATGGTATTCGGTTGCATTAAGGCTTCGATAAATCTGTGAGGAATTCAAATCTGTTGCAGAGAAATTAAGAATTGACATTGGTCATATTGTCAAATAACAAATTTACTAGATTTTCAGAATTTCATTTATCTCTTATTCCATAAATTTGTTTTTACGTAAAAGAATGTATTAATCAATTCAGTTTATATAATCTTATGAAACTATAATTGTTTACCAGTGGTTTACTCATTGTTGGTTTTTGTGCGCAGCTGTATTCGCTCATAATTCAATGTTCTTCTTATCTCTGAGTAGGAAGTAGCTTATCAGAAATCCTTCACTTATTATTCAGTAGTTAGAAAACTTCTAGTCAACTTAAAAATGATATTACTGGTTCGTAATTCTTATCATAAACGGTTTTCATCAAGGATTGATCTCATTTCGGCTTAGCATCGAAAACCGGCAACAGCTAGGCAACTGTTTCGTCCAACTAGGTTTGATGCATAACGTGTATGCAAACTACAAATCAATCTATTATCTAAAATGTTTCCTTCTGTCAAAACAATAATCCTGTAATGGCTATTGACCTACTTTTAATAATAAGTTTTGTATGTAAAATTCGATGTTCAAAAAAGACACAGTTAGTGGAAATATGTTTTTTCTTCCAGCTAACTGTTCATGAATCATATTTTTATTCCTTAAAGTTCAAAGTAAACTTGTTGCATTTCTGCAATCCTTCAAATAAAGGTAAATAATAAAACTTCCTTTTTTTCTGAGTGCAGATGAAGGTCATTCTTTGTGTGTCTTACTTGTTCTACTTGTGTTAATGTTACAATTCCCAAAAGAAATGTTTGCCTTTTCATTGTAATTGTTTTTTTTTGTTTTCAATCAAATGGATTAGACAATAATGAGAAACCACAGTTGCTTCATTTCAAATAATTGTCTTTATTATATTCATCATATTTCTTTTAATAGTACTAGTAGTAGTTGTAGTCGTCACAAGGCAGATACATGGTTCATAGCTAAATAGACATAAATTCACTCTTTTAGGTGTTTTGTTCTCTAAGCTAGATGGTTTTGTCGCGGACTTTTCATTGTTCTTCTGAACAACATTATCAGCACAAAGTTCAAATCTCTCCACATATAACTCAGCTTGTCTTAAAGACCTCTATCTTAACTGGTTATTGTTCACTCTATTGAAAATTTATTTTGTGCTTGTCATTTCTCGGTCATTTGAATCCATTAACAAAATTCTCTTCTTGATTGTAACCATGGACAACTATGTTTTCTTCATTGTTCAATCAAGTTTTATTAGAAATGAAAAATTTAATTCTTTGTAAAGCAACAATTAGGTAATAATAGCATTTATTCTATATATTTATATTGTAGTGGTATTTTCTGAATGGATCTTTGCAATAAAAATTTGAGTAAATAGTAAGAATGTTTTTTTGTATGTTCATGATGTACGAATATATTAATTAGCTCATCTTTGTTTGACTTTTATGGCATCAAAGATATCTTTCGCTTCCGTTCTCAAATAACCTCGTGTGATAATTCAATATTTTTTGATATTTTTTTCATGTTCGAAATTTACGATTAAATCATTGTATCAATAATGTATGGAAGCGAAAATCGATCGATATACTTTCAATCAAGAATGAAACTTTGTTTGGACAATAGTTTTTTGGAAATAATTCAATTTGAAATGTTTTGAATCATCCCATTGTTAATATTTTTGACTGAAATTTGATCAATCTTGATTGATATATGAAAATCCTGAGAGAACCACTTGTTTAACACGTGCTCATGTGTCAACCAAGATTGATCAAATTTCGGTCTAAGCTATCAACAACATGATAATTCAAACCGTTACAAATTGAATTAAATGTTATATTCGTTGCACAAGTGAGTGGATATCTTCACCCAACAGTTATGTGGGTAACGTGATTGCTTTTGAAGCAAACGTTATTGGGTCCTAGTCCTAGAGTAAACATCAATTCTGCCGAGTCCCAAATAGAAAGAAACCCTTGTCCTGGATTTCAGTCGTAGTAGTCACATACCAAATGTGTTAAAAGTCAGTCAGCAATGTATTCGACCAAAAAAATAATTACATTGTTGTAAAGATTTTGTTTCAAGTATTGTATTTCATTTTACATTTTTCAGTGTTTTTCGAAAATATTTAATGTATATATATATATATATATATATATATATATATGATCAGAAATAAATGGGTTAGTTTGTACGTTTGTTTCTCACTGAATTGAAGTGCAAAGTGTGCGATTTGGTTCAATTTTGTTTCATTTGAAAAACGCATTCATTCACAAAATTGTTATAATAAGAAAAAAAATGGGACACTTATTATCATTCACCCACCTTTAATTATTTGAACATTTTCATTATATTCAATCTGTTTGTACAAATATATTATTTACTTTAAATATCTTATATTCAACAAAGCGTATCATAAATATTGATCAGTCCGTATTTATTTATACATGTTTAATTAGATGTTAAGCGTAAAGCTGAATTATGAGAACGTGTAAGTCATTTCACAGGCCACACAGAATATATTGACATGGAAAGTTGCCAACCGAAGTTGCATGACTACTCGTTATGACGGCAACATCATTAGATACTTGAGTTTGGGCAATGATATATACTTCAGGATTACGAGTTACAATTGATTAGTCACTGGGTAGTGATCAAAGTCATGTATATTAAGTCCTGCTTAGTGCCGATCTATAAAATTCTCATAGTCAGTAGTAAGATTTCTGACTATGAAGCTGGTTGACACAGGGTCGAATCCTCTAGGGATAATCAATTACCACAAGATTACAGGTACACCTTGCGAACGAGTACTGATTAGCACGAAACCAAAGTATCCTGTTAACCACCCTACATATTTAAATTTAGTATTTTGATTTAAGATCAATATCTAGTATTTTAATTAGAGTTAAAGGTTTAAAATTAGTTAGGCTTTAATTCTGACTCGAATTTTAAATCTTATGCTCTATGTCTATTCGCTGTTTTCTTATTGGTTGAATAGGTTACAAATTTGTCAAGGTCATTTTGAGCGATACTGCCTCCTCACGGTTCAACTTCAATAATATTATCAGTAATATTTATTATTTTAATTCATGATCTATCTTTTCAAGAAATCTACACATTTCAAATGTAGGTGTAATTTTGGAAAATATTTTTTAGCTAACTAAAAAAAAATTGAAATTACTTTAAAATAAAAGATTAAAACAACATTATATTAATCTACTATTTCTTTTGTCTGACTTGATTTGTAACACATCTATTCATTTCGTTTGAAAAACTTCACTAGTTTTAAATTTATATTCTTTTGTTATGCTGAGTATTTTATTTTGAGTTTGCTTAATTTATGAATGGATTGATTCTAGGGTGTTTTTAAATGAATAAATGTTTATCAGGAGTGAATATATATTGCCTTTCTAGTTATATGTATTTATATATGATCCAAGTTGAGTTGATAGTCAATTTATTTGTAATGAAGACGGTCACTTACTGTTGCTAATGTAACTGATTTTTTTACTACTATCCTATGCATGTTTAGTGAACGAGAACTCAAATGGGGAAAACCAGTTTATGTTGTTTAATGCAAAATTACATAGTGTTTTTATAAAATATAAAAATCATGCATCATTTGCACATCTTTGCATTGTCCATTACCTACTCCATTATTCCTCTAATTCTGTTATTATTTTCATTGCTCTCCGATTTCCCTTCTGTTTATTTTTCAATCCAATCTTCTGCTGCTAGGCATTCTGCTTTTGTTTGCAGTCACCTACTACTTATATTTGTCAGCATAAGTAGCATACACTACACATGTATTTGTTCATCCTTTACATCAGGCTATTTTATTAGATGTATTAATTCAGTAAATCGAAAACTTTCATTGTTATGGTAGATATGTGTATTCAAGTTATATATTTTTATTAAGTTGGTAAAAATCTATTTTGAATAATGTTATGTTTTTTCTTCTTTCCTAAAAAATTGAATTAAAGATTGTAAATCAGATCATTTAGTATAATGGATCTAGTTTATTTAGATGGAGAGGAAAAACATTTTTCACAAATCATTCCATGAACTTCATGTATAAAATGTTACACTGAAAAATAAAGTTCATAGGTTTCTACGAAAAATCTGTTTATGTTTATATCCTCCTACATATTCTATTCCTCTAGAAGTTGAACTAATGAAATTGTTCAAGTACACATGAATTTAAGCGAAACAACTCCTAAGTTCAACCAATCACTAAACAAAAAAAATCACTAGAACAAATTAATTTATTAATTGTGGAAAGATTATATAAAAATAGTTTGCCGTTATTTTAACACCCCCACTGATGTTATTGTCTTGAAAGACAATAAAAAGCTTTGTAAGTAAACTATTCAGTTTTTAAAATGTTACAATATTAAGATCATTTATGTAAACCGAAAATAGTTAAGTGGAAGGGTGTGCTTTTGGTGAATTTTGAACATTTTGTTTGTAGCTTTAGATATCTCACATATCCCTCCTCCCACAAGTCACTAAAATACAATTAGAATTCAAACTACCTCATCTTAATACAGTTGAGGATAGCTTCGCAACACGTAACTTCACACATTAATTTGATCGACAGTATATACTGTTAAAAAAATCTTATCCTAAAGGTTGATCGATATCAGCTGAATCCTGTTTCTTCATTGATATGCCACTTATCGTATAATAATAATAATAATATCTTTTATGACCCCAAGTCATAGTTTAAGTTTCGTAATGCACAGAATCAATTTTAAGGTCAGAAAAGTCAATATGTTAGAGAAAAATCCGCTTTTTGTTCATTATGCAAAACTTTTTAAAATAGAAAATATTACTGCTTAAATAAATCCTGTAAATTGGACCATAGTTCACACTTTCTAAAGGATAATTTGAAATTTAGCATAAAATTATCCGAAAAACAAATGGAAATAGTTGAAATAAGTTTCTAAAATACCTATTTTAAAAGTTATTCGGTTTGTGTATATCATATGTGAGGCTCCTTTTTTCCCTTTAGTATTAAACTGTAAATTCATAAATAACCCGTTATCTTTGAGTTACTTACGTATATAGCTACATTGGCACAGAACTTACATTATACAACTCGGAATTGGTTCCAGTAATGACTCAAATATATTCATTAGTAATATTTATCTTCTCGTAATGAGATCCTTTAGTTTGAATATGATTTCGTGCTCTTTGTTATTCATCTGATTTCATTTATTCTTTTTTGAACTATTGATTATCTTTCTACGTTTAATGTCCTACTACAATTGGTGTTAAGTATTACTGTTGTAATTTACATCAATTTGTTAAAAAATCCGTCTTCTCATTTATCGAATTTATTTCAATTGTATGTAGTAACTATTCAACTCAGTTTTCAGTTACAAATTCGTTTTGAGATGGTGGAGAAGATTTGTAGCTCAGGTGAATGATTTTTATGGAGTTTTGTTCTCTGTGCTTTATTTTAAAACACCCCAAACGCCCTGGTACGGCCAAGAGTGGGGAGAGACCGCTCTCCCTCTCCAAATGCTCTCACATGGCCACGCGTATATAGCCTCTGCCAGGAAAGTCCTACTCACTGCTTTCTTGTGGCGGGGGTGTTGTTTACGAAAATGAGAGGACGAAAAGCGAATGTCCGGCGCTTTAACCGGATGCCAAACCAATGGTGCACATGGGGTCCAGTATCCTGCCTGAGGGAACAAATGGCGTATGAACCAATCGTTGGTCACCGGCTACCATGGGACTGCATCTCCTTACGATGCTCCACTGCCATGTGGATCAGATCTTCAGGTCGAAGGCTCGGGGTGTGGCCCCCTAAGAAAACCACCTGCTTCGGTTTGGGCACCCGGGGAGTATCACATCCCTCACACATATCAAATAAGATCTGTGTGGCGCATATGTATTTGGTGCCTTCTTGTACCAATATCTATGTGTCAAAATAAATAAATAAATATGAGGATTAATGATATTACTACTTAATTATGGGTTTCAAACTTGCGTTTTAATGACTGAAAGCTGAATACCTTAATCACTGAACCACCACCCCTATGTTGTTTGTAGTTCTAGATGCTTATTATTTTAATTTCTCAATTCAATTATCTAAATATATTGAATCTTTTATTTTTATTACTTAGAGTATTAATCATTGGTAACAGAACCGGATGGAAACTCTGCAGTGTGTCTATGTGTACATATGTACGTGAACTAACCTTCATTTAGTCGAATCTTTTTTTATATTTTTATTTCGAAAGCGTTTTTATCCTATGAGTCAGCTTCGGTGTGTTATTATAGGTCGTTACCTTACTTTAGTATATGAATTTTCACATGTAACTATAAATGAACTGAATTTTACAAATTATTACTAAGTATAATAGTAATAATGTCAATATCACTTTTCATAATTACTAGAAATTAGATAGAATTGGTCCAAGTATATTGTTTATCCAATTCATACGTGTACGTACTTGTATTCGATTTTATACATTATGGACTATTACTTTTGGTAAAATATATTTTCTACCTTTATATATATATATATATATATATATATATATATATATATATATATATATATATAAAGGGAGAGTCAAAAATCCGGACGACCAATTCTATCGATTTAATTATTATCATTAAGCCACTTTCCATTTAATCTACGTATATATATATATATATATATATATATATATATATATATATATATATATATATCGTTTTATCAGTTTCCTGGTTTCATATATTCTGATTACTTATCGTTTTCGTATATAATGAATAATTGTTAGATTGTTTTAAATAAAAGTATACTTATTGATAGCAGAGTAGTATGAAATGTCATGTCTGGGGTACAGAATATTAATCAAGCTCTATCTGTTAGGTTTAAAAAGTTAATTACTATGTTAATCAGCTCAATAACGTGATATATTGTATCTCTAAATTAAATGGCTGATAATAGTGAGCAGAAATCCTCAGAAATAAGTTTCGTGAGAACTAGCACTTGTAGATTAAGCATACTTAGAGTATTTAAAGAAAAATTACTCTTGCACAGATTCGAATCGGCATCGGACAGCATCATAACGAGAGAGAGAGATTACAATTAAACTATTTGCGTTGTAGTTAAATTTCTGTATGAAATATTTACGTTAGTTTATAACTGAGTAGTAGTAGTCAGCATTATTTTATATAGTTAGTTGTACTCTAATTGGTCAATGACACTATCTCGTATGCAAAGTACATTACGTAGGTACATGTACACAATGTTAGTTGTGGACTTCCCAATTTATGATTAAACAATACTTGTGGGGTTTATGATAAAAAGTTTATATATACTTATTGACAGATTATTTTTCGTTTTGATTACTAAGGGATAAAATCTCTAATTGACAGATGTGTTAGCATATATTGATGACTAATTTAATTTATGAGATTTCGTGTTTACTTTTTTTTAATTCTGAGATTTATCTTTGTTTATCATTACTAATATAATGTATACATTAGTTATTGTTTACTTTCATTAAATCGAAAGTTTTTGTAAAGATAAGTTTGATTTTGAAGATTTTATCGCCTAATATCGGGAATCAGTGTGAACCAGGAAGCACTAGGCAATTGTAGTATCAGAAGTAAGTATGGTGTTACTTACCAATGAAATAATAAAGTAAATCTAATCTATACTGACAACCTTGGGAGAAAGTGTCAAATCGGATTTTTACATTAAATTCAAAGTATAGTGAAGGATAGCATGTATTTTATTAGGAATCAAATAAAAGTCGTTTTTACCTAGTTTGAAAAATGGTTAGAAACACTGTGCAACCGCACAAAATGAATATGACTCGATGCGTACACTTAACTACAACAAATATCTCTAGCTAATGGAGATTATATCTATGTATATTGTAGATGTGATTTAAAGCATAGTTCTAGGGTATTTATGTGGTTAGAAATTATTCTCTCACTATAAATCCTGACTTTAATTCTTAACCCCAAACGTTCATTAATTTGTAAATAATATATAACACTGATAATTTATTAATGAACGAATGAGATTGTAGATATCGTCTCTTGAATTTTTGAGCGAGATCTCGATAAATATTGTCATTTGTTTGAAGTTGTGCAGTATTGGTTTACGCATTTGAAAACCAATACCTGACACAAATGAAATTTGTTTCCATAATTATTTCCGCGTGTATTACGTAGACATACATTCCTGTTGTATAACTCGATACTGAAAGTTGAATAATAAATGTATTAGGAATATGTGTATTTTAGAAATGTTAACCAGAAGATAGGATAATTGTGAATTTAATTTGGTAGCCAAATCGTTGAATCACTTATGATTCAGTTTATATATGATCATAGATTTAGTACACTAAATAGATAAACGGACAAATCTAGAAAGTGTATTTTTATTAAAGGGCATGATCTATGAGAAATAAGTACTGAATTAATAACAGCAGGATACAAATGACACGCATCTACTAGTCACATGATTGTATGCCTTTATATCTGTTCAGATCAGAGTAATTTTGTATATGTAGGTTGTGTAACAAGAGTGGAGGTGGGGCTGTTACACTCACGCTCACTGTAAAACTCCAAAGTTATAATTTTAATCCCTAACGCAGAAGTGCGTCTATACACGCTACTGACATAGATACTTTCGTGTTGTCATGATGCAAGTTGTATCTAGAGCTCACTGATTGATTAATTCTCACCAATTTTCCAGGTGATAATTAATCTATAGTGATAAAATCCATACTTATTATATATTTTTTTTAATTCTTCGAAAAATTTTTTTAGAAAATAAATAAAAATTTCCTGTGAGATTCAGTTGTCCATTTTTTTTTCTTATTTACATTTTGTTTGCAATTCATTCTGGTATGTGATATCAGTAGTATCATGTTTAAAATTTTATTGATCGTATTATATGATGAAATCAATCTTGATTATTGTTACAAGTTATATGAATTTTTTTCAACTGTTCTATAATTCGTCATACTGTTATACATGTAATCGGTTAGCAGTAACCAATAAGAAAAATATTAAAAAATCTTTCTACGACTAGCAGTTTTTGAGCATGAGTTACATTTTTTTTCAGTTAGCGAATTTTCCCTTTGTTCATAATTAGAATTGGTAATATAAACCTTTTGACTGTTTAACGATTGTAAACTGATGCGCATAGTTTTATAACGGTTTATATTGAAATATGTACATTATTCACTAGTCTTTTTCTTTGTAAGCTTTTATATCAGTAATTATTAAGTCTCATTATTAATCTTGACAGAATTGTTATTGTTATTACATTATTGATGTAGTTCACTATTCAATTAGATGCTTACTACATTTAATACGATTGTACAACAATCTTCTGTGTTATCTTTCAGTATTAGAGAGATAATTTTCTTGGTTTTATTTAGCAGTTAATCTATTGACTTACATACAGATTTTGTATTCCGTTGTATTTTTGAACTCAAATGAATGGTAAGCTTAATTGTATGATAGTCTTACTAACAACTGACGATGTTATTGAGTAAATACAGAGCGGTAATTCTTTTAAATTTTATTATTTACTCCTAGAATTTTGTATTAATCCTTACAAACTTACTCATAATATCCGAATGAATGTATTAGAAACATCACTATACTTAAGATGGATAGTGGCTAGCAGTGGAATCCAGGACGCGCGTTTCGTCCTATTTGGGACTCGTCAGCTGGATGTACCTGCGAGTCCCAAATAGAACGAAACGCGCATCCTGTATTTCACTGCTAGTCACTATTTATCTTTGTTTATAAAGCTTGTGAATTAAGGCAATATCGAGGCAATGCGCACAGGATGTATATATGCCAATATGAAACTGATTAGTTGCAGTCCTAAACCTCAATGGGAAGATTCAAGCAAAACAACACAAAGTGAATCATAATACTTAGAGACATATCTGGATTTATATAGTCATGTATTCCAATGTTTCAATCAGATTACTATGGTAATCTATCAAGCTATTTATTTATAATAGTCATTATAAACACAAAAGTTTCAATATTTCAAAAATAGTACCAAGATAAGTGTTTTAACATTAACTACATTCATTTTTTTATTTGAAACTAATATGATGACTATTTGAGACTTTTTCACAGTTTCTCATCCTTTTTTGTTTACTTTAATGATCAATATTAAATATTAGTTCATCAGTCAGTTCGTTTTTCTTTAATCTACACCGTAAAAACAAAATGTTTCTAAACATTATCCTATTTCTTTCTCAATTTTTTTGTATACGGTGACTCATCTCGAGGAGAGTTTGATGGGACAGAGATAATATTGATTAATTTTTTTTCAGACAATTATATTTTCATAAGAATTTACTTCTATTTCATCAATATAAAATGAATTTCTTCTGACACTAACTTATTTATATCTATTCAGAAATCTAATTGTAGAGTGGTAATTTAATAGTTGGAATAGGTAGTTTTTAACCATTTACCACAATGATACCAGTTTAGCAAGTCAAGGACCTATTATTAGGCTTTATATAAAAAGTTTTACTCGAACCAAAATACTGAAAACTGAGTTTCATAGATGAGTTACAAGAAAGTAATTATGGGCTATATATATATATGCAACAGCTGTGTACCATTTAAGACCGGCAAATAAATTTGTACAAAGGTAGATAAAAGCATACCTTAATCTGTACACTATCGCATATCTGAATCTGCATCCTATTGGCTGATATTTCATAACAAATGTTTTTCGTGCCCTTGACCTTGAGGCTTCTTATTACGACCGTGTCACACATAATGATTGACAAATATTTACTGCAGTTTGCATAAACATTCAGAAAACACCGATTAACTAATCGTTATATCTATATATATATATTTCAAATAAATCAGGTAGTTAAAAATCGTTACGATGGAACTTTGGGTTGTATGGATTTGAATTTTCGAAAAGACCGTCTTTCTTTCCGACCAAGACCACGTGAATTGGTAATCCCAACAAAAGCAACAACATTTCCAAGGATAGTTGGTTACGATTAAATATTTTCTCATTTTTTTCACAGCATTTCTGTTACAGATAAACTTACCATAAACCACATATATGTATATATATATATCATGTACATGTATGTACTTTTTTCATCCATTTTTGTACAATTATCAAATACTTGCCAGTATGACTTTTATTTCTATTAAGAAACAGATTTCTATATTTAATAAATTATTATTATCAGATTTAATTGTATTCTATAAATGTACACTAATAAATGATTTGAAACAACAAAAGACAAGAAATAGGATAGCTTCATATGAAGTTTACTATCTCTTATGGACTGACTAATTATTCATGAAATAGATTTTCTGTTTCTCTACAATTTACTGCTAAGTGATTTATCACGTAGCAAGAGTTCATTAAATGTTCACATTATTCAAACTGTCAATTTTTCATTAATACTCGTAATTAGGATTCATTTTATGTATGGATACCAACAACAACAGCCGATTTCAATGGTCATATCTTAATCATTTGAATAATACAAGGCTGTTTTATTATGGAAGCTAGTTAGTTTGTTACTGGTGTGGCAGAGCAGACTTATTTTAGGTAGCCAATTTCCTCAAATTACATAAAACTGGCCAGTATGCGACTAATGTTTAGAGGGTCAGATCGATTGTTATCAACCGGTAGTGATAATGTATTTTGTCAGTTAATGATTTGCAACGGGAGTATGTAATACACTTTGGAAAGGTCAGGAAGCCGGGTGGCTTGTGTTACATGGAACTTGTATAATGCCTAAACTATTATGTATTTCGCAAACGACTATCGATTTTTTATGCAAGGTATCATTGTCTCTAAATTGTCAAGCAAAAGAGTTAGGGGAAGACAAAGTTCTTTCGACTGTAATTTTCTAGCAAGAAGGGGTTTGTTATGTAATCCTAAAGGTGGCAATCCTACTAGAGTACAGGATTTCACTTACTATTGTTAAACCTAAGATATCTCCTACTCTATCTATCTACCTTATGTATTTCCGAGACAGCTGTCATGTCATCATGAAATTACTAAATATGAGTAGCAGCCTCAGTTGTTGAGAGAACAGATTGGAGGCTGATTTGAATCCACGGAATACTTTATGTACCTTTTAATACCGGGACATAAAACAAGATCTTGTTTCCCAATTATCATGATGAGAACGATCTGTTTACTTAATTGAAAAAATGTAGTTTATGTTTGTCGTAAATAATTTAATAATTAACATGTATCACGTCCTGCTATGAACTTATCGTTAAATGCTAAGCAACAATTTTCCAGCAAGCAATTTACAATAAACTTTCACGATAGCGTAAATGGATATCACAGTTCCAAGTTGAAATTAGCAATATTTACGTCTCCAGTGTGTTTACTCGCATCCTTCAATTCAGCTTTTGAACCAAGTTGGAAAAATACTTCTTTCTCTTATAATGAATTCACTGCCAAATAATAATTATTGATTTTCCGGGTGTCACTCGGATCATGAGAAAGTGCATGCCATTGTTGATATCCAGTCAGAAAACTATTATTCATAATGTGCGACATTAATCTACCACTATAGGTCGACCCGAATCATTTGAATGGGATTTTTCTGAATGTAGCATTGCATAGAAAGTTCAGTCGATTATCATTTGCTGGAGCAATATTTCAACTCCTGATGACTGTAAAATATTGGCATATGTATATTAGTGGATTAAATTACATTGTACTACATTCTGCTCCAATTTAGTGTGTCGATAATCTGAGCTATTTACATGATTATTTTATCAAACTAACAGTGTAGATTAGGATTAGAATTATAAGGAAAACTACAATGGTCCTGCTGACATTCAATACAAATTGTGTGTTAGCATGAAAAACACTATGAAGTGCGTAACGTCAAAACGTTTGTGTAGCTACATCATAAGTGATACTCACTTATAGATATTGTGGAGTTTATACTTCCTTCGATCTAGACCAGTTACTAAAATACTTATCCACATTCCTGTTTTTAACTATTTGAGGATTCACAAGTCTTTTAAGGGGATGATTATTTTTAGAAAGTTTCAAAGCACAGGAGCGGCTATTGGCAGAAACAGAGTAAGGAAAAAATTAGAAGTAACAATAGGAAGAATACAAATCAGTATAAACTGGCATGATTATAATCACATCAGTGAAATGCGTTAACTGGAAGACACGACAAAAATGTCGTAATGAGGGTAATCAACTAGTAATTAGAAGGGATTAGTGTACATCAAAGTATATCACAGCTCATAACAAAGTGTTTGGCAGTTTTTTAAGTTATAGTCTTTTGAGTTTCGTAGTGATTATTCTTCCAAATCCATAAGTTCTTTGATAGCTAGTTGGACTTCATTTGGATCCAGTGTGACTGAAAGTCGTAAGTTTTGCAACTCTAATTGACATAATGCACCTGCACGAATGAGAACAGTAGCAAGATCATCTGCAAGTTTGGAAGTTAGCATAAGTTTACTTGGAAGTGTTTTTACTACAGGGAGTCGTAAGTAATTATTGATCTCTTTTGATGAAGGTTTGGTTTCTGAAGAATACAAACTACAGTCCTCAGATAGCCGTTTGATTATTTCCGACTGAGTAGCGATCAGTATCACACACAGCGCAGATACTGATTCCGGAGCCACACTATTACTGTTGAAGGTCTGCGAAAAACGGCCTAACTTGCAGTCTAATACAAGAACACCGGATGACTGCTCTAAATATTTAACGATTGCATCACGTAGTGATGAACCATTCTCAAGAACTGTATTATAAAACTGTACGGATTTACTGTCCAGTATAGCTCGACTGGCCATTCGAGTTTTGAAGTCATCTGCACTGTTAATAATTGGACATTTAGAATCATCTTTTGATGAATTCTGATGTAAGCTAATATCCCGATATGTCTCATTGTTGGCCAGGTTAAGTTTTGTACAACCATCAACAGGTGGATTTTTTGGAGACATTTTATTTGATGTTTTTGATTGACGTAAGCAGCACACCAGAGGTAAGAGTAGTTTGATCCACTGATTACGAGCATTTTTGATAGTATTTTCTGCTGGCTTAACATAATCCATATTTGACTGGTTAGTATGTGTAGCTAGTATGGGTGTGGTGGTATGGTCTATCCATATAGGTAAAGATGGTAACCTAAGGAACAAAATGAAGATGTGGTTACTTATTAGACTCTACAGTTAACAGAATATCTTCGATTACAAGCTGTACACAGTGTGAAATAAATAATGTTTATCTATTGATTCGTGGAAAAACGATTCTGGAGCATGGTATAAATTCACTTCAAAATAGCCATGCAAATCAGTTAAATATAAGTGTGAAAGAAAATCGTAGACAGGTAGCAGGCCAATTCACATGAGTTTGTAGAAGTTGTCAGATACTAGTTTATTAATGATAATAATTTTTGTAATATTCCTTAAAAATCAAGGATCTACCTGAATAAGCCAGAACAACCGAAATACTTAATTATTATCGAAAGTTTTCTTGGGATGGTTGGAAGAAAGTTAGGGGCGGCCAAACCAAAACGTGGCATCAGTGTTCGAAGTCACTAACATCTGGTCTGAGCCATGTTGGTTGGGGTCCGCGTGACTATCGTAACCAATGGTTGGAGACTCTTGGTGACATGGCTTAGGATCGGTCACAATGGCGTAGATGTATACATTCTCTGTCTTCCCTTAAACTAAGCGATTAAAATCGCTTTATATCTTTTTTTCTACGAACTAATTCTTTCTTCCTGTACTATGTCCCTATATGCAATCTTTCTTTTATATATAACAACCATTGACCTAACTACTCCTATGAATCCTGTGTTTATCTTGCTGTGCTAATGCGGTATGGCAACTTGGACCGATGAATATATGTGCCTGGTCCTACGTTACAGCTGACTGACTGACTTTCTTGGAAAAAAAATTTATTGTTTTGAAAAACTGACTTTTATTAACTGTAAATATAATTAGATGTTGCTACGACTGTTGAAGGTATGAATTACATGTGTGATATACTGGAATGTAATTTCTTCACAGATATAGACTGATTTTTTTTAGAAACAATGATAATCATGTTAACCACAAATATTTTCCCATCTGATTCATAAACACACAGTTCTCTTTAGTTAAAAGATATAAAGTTAAACATGATTACGACAAGATTTGCTTTTCACACGATTTTATAGATCAGTGACACTAATCGAAAGAAATAAAAGAAAAATCTTCAAGCGTTGATGTCTATTAACGAGCATTTCGATATCAGTAACTATATAAGTACAAAGCCCATTAGTCTAACTCAACTGACAACTTTTCAGTGAGAAAAATTGTTTGCCAGCTGGGTTTAGGATTATTATTATTATTTTAACACATAGATATCGGTACAAGAAGGCACCAAATACATATGCGCCACACAAATCTCAATTGATTTGTGTGAGGGCTGTGATACTGCCCGGGTGCCCAAACCGAAGCAGGTGGTTTTCTTAGGGGCCACACCTCGAACCTTTGACCTGAAGATCTGATCCACATGGCAGTGGAGCATCGTGAGGAGATGCAGTCCCATGGTAGCCGGTGACCAACTATTGGTTCTACGCCATTTGTTCCCTCAGGATACTGGAGCCCATGTGCACCATTGGTTTGGGATCCGGTTAAAGCGCCGGACATTCGCTTTTCGTCCTCTGATTTTCGTAAACAACACCCCCGCCATGAGAAAGCAGTGAGTAGGACTTCCCTGTCAGAGGCTATATACGCGTGGCCATGTGAGAGTATTTCGAGAGGAGGAGCGGACTCTCCGCACTCTCGGCCATACCAGGGCATTTGGGGGCAGGGTTTAGGATATTCTAACTAGTATAATAACAAATATTGTTTCATAACTCAGTCACTTAATCTTATCTGTTAATTGTCAGGTTACGAGTTTGAGTCCCATTATATCCAAAAACTCCTACAGTTCGACAGCCCTGTTAGCCTATAGCCTAATGAGCATATACTCAAATGGTTCGTCAAGAGGCTGTTTCAAAAACGAGCCGCATTCCCTGAAACAAACAGTAAGTAAAAAACGATTGACTGATTAATATCATTCTGTTAATTTGTGTGTCTAGAAAAACATAATTTCAGAGTATAAATAGTTTACCTTTGAAGATGTCCTGGCTTTCGCTCATCTTGATCGTTTAAATTAAATGGTCTATTGTTTTCTTGCATTTTTTCAACATGAGAGGGTAAAGCGAAACTATCCTTTGTCTTATTTTTCGTAGCATTTGGTGTTAGCTGATTGTAAAGAGCAGGAGATACTTTGATTGCTAATAATTGAATCCACAATGATATTTGTCCGCGTCTTCTTTTATCAGAGAGATCGGCTGTAAGAAAAATGAATATTACTTAAACATGGGTAACAAACTTGTTATGAAAAAGATAGGTAGAAGTGTGGAACGTAGCACAAGTATGTATAGTTTTGAATTCCTGAATGTCACATAAGCAGGGTGAGTGAAAATCACTGAGTAGAAAAACAAATGAGTAAAAATAGTGGTACTAATAGTGGTGGTGGTGGGAGCGAAGCTGATCGAAGCAGAGAAAGAGAATGATATTACTTACGAACAAGAGGAAGATTAAGGACGAATACATCTGCAACAGTATTGATGACTTTGAGGCACAACTTATTTTCCAACCTTAGATTATTCCAAAACCTACCCAAGAGACCTAAATCATTCGGTATAGCATAAACCAATGGTTAGTAATTCCACCAACCTATAGCCAAAATATAAGCTAATAAGCGAGGTGAAGGGGTCTTGCTTGCTTCTATGCTTTAATCACAATATCTACTATAGATAAAAGCAGGAGATTGTATTTCGACCATTAGATGTGGCACGGCAGTATTAACTCGGTCCATAAGCGGTACAGAAAGGGGTAGTTATCGGGAGGAAACAAAATGTCTTGGAAACAGTAACAGAATGGAAAATGTACAGAAGACAAGAAATTTGCTAGGAAAAAGAGTTGAGGTAGTGGATAGGAGATACAGAACAAAGCGTATATTTTTCTTGGCAATATAAGGAACGGGTAAATCTGGGTTATTGAGACTGGTTTCAATTCATGTAACTTAGAGATCTCAATAGCCAGACTTAGTTTTCTTACAGTTACCTTTCAGTAGGTCAGTAACCCTTTTATAGTGAAAACTAACATAGAGACGTTACTGGTTGAGATCTTTCTCACTTATGCAATACAAAACTTAGTCTCAATATTGTTCATTCGATGCATTAGACGTACATGAAAATATTAGTGATTATGAGCCCTTAACTTTATACGAAATTCACAGTCAGTGCTAATATTTTACAGCCATCAAATAAAACATTGTGAACTGATGCACAATATGTTCGACTTTTGATAACATTTAGGTTCTTTGATAACAACACGACCAGTGTAAATTAGTGAACATCGAAATATCTATTTTACACTTACGTTAAAAGTAAGCTAACCAAAGGGCTTTCAATAATTATTTGAATGTGGACGTAGGTAATCAACATCGAAGAATCATTCAGTCAAAACGTATAACCTGGGACATGCGTGCAACGGTTCAAATTGCCATACCCCATTAACACAGCTAAATGGAACTGTCAAGGAAAACTTCAGAGTAGTAAAGGCATCAACAGTCTTTGTGACAAAAGAAGACTACGTAGAGATATGATTTGAGAACATATGGGTTAGCGAAATAAATAAATTTATAAAGTTAGAAACTTAGGATTTAAGGATAGATAAAAGGCGAATACACCAGTGCCATTATAAAAATACTTTGAATACGTTAACTTCATGTTAAATTATGCATCAATATAAACTAAATCTAAAGGCAGCATTGGTAGAATGACAAATATCGAGTTTTAGTTAAGTTGATTAGGTGGCTTTGGATTTAATCGAACTTATCAGAATAAATCATGTCCACCACTTTGTCAGACACTTTCTGGGGAATACAAGATATTCAAAGAAAATCAACAAGCCTACTAACCATATCTTGGTAAACTTCGATGATTACACAAGTATTACAATGTACGAAAAAACAGTCTACAATGTTTCAGAGGCAGATAAAGCGTTACTACATACAATAATGATATTTACTAAAGGTTCGTTAAAAATATAGGATAACTCACAGCATCCTGAGTTCATTCCTCCGTTGACTGATGATGGATTGATTCTCCGACTACAATCCAAGTGGCTGGCAAGTTCATGATGACCCGTATGCCGCAGTGCATTGAGCAGGAGCGCCAATCCTGGTGGTGGAGCGTAAGAACACGTAGGACTTGATTTCGAGTTGATAATTCCGTTAAACACAGGGAGACCGATAGCACTGAGTAACAAAGACGGTCGTTGCAGTTTATCAGCCTGCATAATTGTATGGCTTGATTCCTGACTGATAGCATGATGTCGGACGAGGTAATCAAGTAGAGGAGGTTGTACGTCTAGATTTTCAAACGTATCTGTAAAGCAATCAGGAAAACTTTTCGTAGTACTTGGTGGGACGCTAATAGTCGCCTCAGAGCCATTGTTAACAGAGTTGTGGCAAAGAGGACGCACTTGAGATATAGGTGTTGGGCTTTCCAACTTAGCGATACTGGGTTCTTTTTCTTTGCATTCAGGTGTCGACTGTGATTGTGGTATTATTTTCAAGTTGAAAGTTCGTTTTGTAGCTGCTAAGTTTTCCGATGCTTCGTTATATCCACTGAAACTACAATTACTGAGATTTTCGAAATATCCACCTCCATAATTTACTTTGAAGTTATTGACATGTTCACATTCTCTACTAAAACTTATCACAGTATGGTCATTACCACCACAAGAAACTTCCAACATCGAGTTCTCAGTATAGACGAGGAATAACAGTTTACATAGAAATTATACAGTATGATCAAAATTAGAGGATCATGTTATGAAGGGCAGGCCTAGTTGAACCGCAGAACCAGCTGACTACTTTCATATTTCGATGATCTACAATCGTCTAAAACAACAAGGTCATTGGCCTAAAAACTGGATGTTCCAATAGCAAATAGCCTTGTGGAGAAATGAGTCTAAAAACCTTGCGACGACTTAACCAACGAAGAATCACAGACCAATTTGAAATTATTTCAAATATTACTTTAGAAAGGACTGAGAAGTCGAGCTGCAGTTGTCGGATATTACGGTTAAATTTGCTTGAACACGTAAATTGGATCTAGTTATTCTATATTCTGATATGAGGTGAGAACCTAGCAAATACGAAGTATAGAAATCACTGCGGACAACACTTTGTTGCATGTAAGAAGGAGTTAAATGAATTAGAAAATAGACAAGCGCTCTTTTCAAGCATAATGTGCCCTAATCGGTTTTCTCCAATAACCGAAAAAGTCTATTTTTCCACCGGTAGACAACCACGCTAAAAAATCTAACAAGCGTAATTTTACCAAGGTTAGATCATTTTGTGGTACGTTTAGCTGTCTCGATTAGTTTCTCTCCTACCGGTTGCCTCAACTGCGACGTACATGCTTCCAGATTCTTGCGAACACAGTACTTGTGAATAAGTTACTGGATGTACACGAATCCGTTTGCAATTCTAAGTGTCTTTCATGTTTTATTATCGTGCAGTATATGTTCACTTTCGTCTCGCGTATACCCTCATTTAATTGTCTCTTATTTAATTTTTTAGCCCGTAGAGTAGCGTGTGTAGTATTAACCTTGCCACCAGCACTTACACTCTATCTACAAGGATGACTAGTAAATGCAGTAGTCCAAACCCAAAGATTATTAGTAAGTCAAAGATCATCGTTTTCGGAATCAAGATCATAAGAAAATTGATGACGGTGCTAGTAAAAAGACCTCAAAATCATGTTTGCAACATGGATCACTTGACCTAAATACTAAAACTAAATTTCCCACCAAGTAATCAGTATCTCACTCCTACCCAGGCCCCTACTCTTAGTAAGTCTAGTAGGTGAAAAGAAATAGGAGAAAAGTGCATTTTATACTGCCCATTGTGTTGACTATTAGGGAGAAACAACACAAGAGCGGTACCTGTATCAAACGCTCGTCTCTCGTTAAAGCCAGAGACTAAATATTTGAGTGTAACTTCTGTATCGACTGTATTCACTGCCACTATGATATCATAGTACACAGGCAGTACTGTTCGTGAACCTGGAACATTTGCCGACGATTTGAAAAAACACACTGACGGGACTAATAAAATAGAAGAATAAGAACACACTGGAAGAGTGTCAATTCACCCAGGCCATGTCGCATGTATAGGGGCAAAATCGTAGCGAAAATTAAACCCTATGCATTAAGAGTGACTTTAGATTCAGCAGATGTTGCAGAAGAAATCTTATCGACAACCAAGAGACCATCAGTTAAGCGATTCTCTCAATGCACGGTACAGAACATAGAAGTCACAGTCCCGCTATTGAGACACTCTATACAGGAGAAGGCTTACAGCAGTTTGTTTACGCGGAACCGGTCGACGCACTGTAAATAACAGCTTGCTTAACAATCAGAAGGCATGTGCTGCTGTAGGGGAGCACTAGGTGGTTATATAAACCATCAAGTGACTATATAGCAACCGAAGTCGACTAAGGGGACGATTGCAATAAATCAGAGACATGTATTTGTAATTTGTTTCCATTTGTCAATGTGCTAGAGAGGACATGGCAAAATAAAAATGTTACAAACGGTACAGGGTTTAATATAATCAGTTACTTAGTTAGATTGCTTCGTGGCACGATATGTGCCCTCAGTTAGGTCAAAATATCAAAGATTGCTACCGTCCAACAGCGTGGATGAAGAAATGAGTCTGCATAACATGACACTTTTCAGAAACGATAGGGTACTCAAAACAGATGGAGCGGCGATTAACCGAAGTAGCAAAAATATGCTGGTTTTATTTCAAGGAGAACGAGACAAAGTGATTGATTGGGAAAATATGCTATCCCTACACAGATTCTGGCACCCCAACAGATTATATAATACAGTTTATAGAAAGGATACTATATCTGTGGCTTGACCAAATACTACTGGCTGGAGATTTCAGTACTCCATCCATATATCTCAACAAATAGGGTATAGCCGATACGGGGTGGTTCCATAAGCGGCTTTCACAGCCAAAAAATGTTCGGGAATGACGGAACACATGCTTAGCACCCAGAAATGAAATGGGAACGATAGGCCACTAGAAAATAGTTACCATGGTACCGTCACGTGTTAATGTGGCCACAGACGAAATACTTCGGATGGACGAGAACTTTACCCACCCCAGCTACACTGTTGCAGACCGCACGAATATGAGGGAACATTTTCCGCATGTCTCATGGCCGTGCAAATGGTGGATACTGTTAGTAGAAGATCGCTGGGAGGTCGTGAGGGATATCATTAACAATGCGATCCGACAGAATATACCACAAGGCAAGCACACAACTAGAAACCGAACGTCCCGGGTTAATCGATGCGCGGAACGCTTGCAACAGCCGAAATGGAGAGTCTGAAGAAAGTGGAACCTTTCCCCAAATGATTCAGGTCGCAGCTATTATTTGTCATAAAGAAGTGGATACATCGCCAGTCTGAAGCGACAGGCTGAAGAGACAGCCCAAATGCAGGCTAACCCTAAATACCTTTGCAGATTCATAACCAAGTGAAAGTCTGTAAACCAGAAGATCCGTACCCCTAGAAAGCCGAGTAGAAAATGTCCCATCAACTTAGAGATGGCGGAAATCTTCAATGCCAACTCCATAGACCAATTAAACCCGGAATCTGCAAGCGCGGAATATCTCTCATCTCTGGTGCTCTTTCAGGGTCTAGGAGATATACAACCAACTGCCGTATTAGTAATAAATAGAAAAAGCCCTTGAATTCGGGAGAGTCACCAGAATGTTACGACATCCGACCTATAGTCCTGAAACAGTTCGCTAGAGGCATTAGCATAGCAGCGTGTGACCTGTTGAGACACTCAATAGATTCACACAAACTGTCAAAGTCATGAAAGAATGCCAGTCCGTCTCAAATCTTTAAAGGGGGATATAGAAAATTCCCAGCATGTTATAGACCGGTCAGATTAGTCTCTGCCGTTGTAGGTAATGGACGGACTGGTCACTGAACGGATGAGGAAACACATAGATAGAAACGACATTCTCCATGGTTATTATCACGTGTTCAGGAAAGGAAGGTCCTGTGAATTAGATCTATTCATATTATGGAAAAGCTTGATGACCTGCTGGGGCCATAAGATACCGGTTCAACCTTACAAAAACCTCTGACATGGCACTTCATGTATTTCTCATAGCAAAACTTGCGATGAGTTTCGCTGACCACCCAGGGAATGGGATGTCTTGTACCAAGGCAACTAAAGTGAACGCAAGTTGGATGGTCTCAACATCAGTAGGGGCAATCTAAGGTCCACTGCTGTTCTTGATTTTTATTAAAATTAGCTCAGCGGCACTGACTTGTGCAGACTATGCATAAATCTGTAGGTCTATAAAACGCAAAAACGACTCACGTGAACTTCAAAAAGATCTTGTAGCAATAGAAAAGTGGGGAGCAGATAATAAGTTGATAGTTAGCCTGTTGAAATGTAAAGACGTAGGCATTACGCTTCATTTCAAACAAGGTGATAACATCCTCTTTGGGAAACCCCCCTCCACCATATATTTCCAGATCTATCCCGGGGTTGTAGCCACAGAGCATATACACCGTGTGAAAATACCTAGGGGATGCAGTAGGGCAAACACAGCTCTCCAATTTATGAGAGGATGACATGACTCATTCTGCCAATATTTGTTCCCAACTCTCTTTGAAGCGTACCCACGCAACCATTTTTAAGTACGCGAAGTTGTTTCCTCCCTTTTCTTCCAAAGGGACACAAGTTTCTTGGACCAGGCACAGAGGCAAGCAAACAAGTGGGCGACAGGATCAAAACATTAGTCCTAAGAAGACAATACTTTAAATTATTGTCGCTGAGATATAGGAGAATAAGAGGTGATCTGATAATAGGATACGACATATTAAGTACACCAATTCCTTACAACACGAACATAGTACCAGAACATCACCATGCTCCTCGAGGCAACCGTCGAAGGGCCTCACATTAAACAGTGAACACCTAGGTACCCTCTCACTTTTTTTGCACGAAAAGTTGACTCCATCTAGAATTCTTTTCCAAGAGAAATGACCACGGCCCTAGTGAGTAGATCTTGGGGAAACTGGACAAACCCGTACTCACCCGTGGATTGTCATCTCCCTCTTTCACCTGCTGTGTCTGATACATGTCTCAAAAATCACCATGGCTACCATTATTGAATGTCAGTAAATACTTCCTGTCTTTCCCATTATCACTTCTGTTTCCTCTCTTATTCTTTCGTTTTCGTCTACCTGAACGTTGCCAATTAGTTGACTTATTTATTTATTATTGAAGCTATAGTCTTCTCCTAGGACTTGAATTAACACCTTAGTATTTTTAGATTGTAACCGATGGAACTCCTGTCCGGTATTGTCATAACTGCTAATGGCCAGAAACCCCAGTGCTCTCAGATAAACGCAATCACTCAATTATAGGATATATAAACCCACAAATAACGACTACACCGGCTCGAATTAGTGCAGTCGAGTGGCTACACTACCACCTGTTGTGCATGACTGAATACTTAAAACTGTATTGGGGTAACAAAAAGAGAGCTAAAGGAAATTATTCAGTCTATACAAATTCCTGACAAAGATATTAAATACTAGAAATGGTGTTGTTGTGGGTCACTAAAAGTATTTGAAACCCTGTTAGATGTGAAGTTCTGTGTATTTGTCCCTCATTTATCCAACAACTGACTAATTGATCTGGCTGCCCAAAGTAAAAGGCCTAAAAAATATAAAGCTGGACATTCAGCAATTTTACTGTTGGATGATTTGACTAGGACCCAGTAACCTTGTACCGGCCATAGATGATAATTTAATACCACGTATATTTGGAACTCTCTTTGATCTTCATGTA